CTATATTTATTATAAGAGTTCCTCCTATTTTTAAAATGGTGTGGACTAATAGTTTGGGAGCTTTATTCATTTTAAATACCAACACTTTACAAAATCAAAGTTAAAGCAAGTTTTTTTTTTAAATATTGTTGTCTGTATCACCTCCATTAACCATATTTTTAGTCAGGTCCTCCTCGAAAGCTGCTAACCACGCGAATAGTAAATCATTTGTGGACGTTCCCGTATCCTTATGCTCATTCGTCTGCTTATTTTTGGGTGCAAGTTCCAATATGGTAGACATATATTTTGAAAGAATTGTGTAATCGCATTTGTGAAAATCCTAATAAATCAGTAACAATTTTCAAAAACTGTGAAAGTGAACAATGACTTTAGAACCAACATTTCCTCCTTAAAGACTGAAATTTTCTACTGTGATACTTACATGTCTGATAATACGCGCGGTCAGAGGTGCAATTCATTTGTTGTAAATAGATTTTTTCAATTTTGCAAGCTAATGTAATTGCACATTAAAAGAATTAACATTGCTACTTGAGGGGAAAGTTTTCTTCAAGTAGATTTAAATGTCATGACCCTAAATTGGGGAAATTACTATTGCATATATCTTGCTTGCTGCTGACGAGCTGACAACTCTACACATTTACCCTCAATCACATGGCAAACGGAGTAGACATTCAATTTCTTCCATTTCTACCATCTCCATGTAAATTCATCTTCTATTCTTTAAATTCTCATTACATTTGACACAATGCCGCTGATGGATTGTACATTCAAGTGCATTAAGCATACATTAGATACTGCTGGCTGTCAAGCGTGTGCCTATTAACATATGTATTGTTATGTGCATACTCGTATGCGTACAAGTATGCGATCCTAAATCGGTGATCCATTTTGCTTTTCAACACAGGCCGCAAATTAATGATCTATCATTTATCAATACAAATGCCAAATGCTACCCTAAAAAAGCAGCTTCCACATTTGCGCCCCAGTCGTCACAGATTCTTGTTCTCAATGCCCATAAATTGAAAACCAAATTGTAGGCATATTGCCATATTGTTCTAATTGCTGCCATTTGTTAAAGGCTCGTGCGCGCAATCACAAAAAAAAAATGAAAATACAAAAATGTTTTTAACAAATATGCGTGTCGTTATTTTGAAATCTGCCGCCGTTGCCACCACCGCCACCACCAACAACAACAACAGCATGAACTGTACGGACAGCAAATTTCAGGGGCCCTAATTGATATTAAATAACACAACAACAACAGCAACAGAAGCAACAGCAACATCACAACATACGACAACCTGTTACGCAAACAAAGGAAAAGAAATACTCCAGCAAATACTCTCTGCGGCTCACATTTTTTTAATAAATGCAAAGCCATAAATAAACCGCCCAGGTAGAAAAACTGAGTGAGCAAGAGAGAAACGCAAATTAACAAAAACCAAAGAAGAAACTACACAAAAACAACATAATAATACGTTTACACAAAGGCGCGAAACATATGAAATAAATGTGGTAATAAAAAATCTTTTGTGGCCAAAAACAATTTCTCAAATTTCTCAAGCGTTTATCATAAGTTCTTAAACATTTTCCTTACTGCTCTTTTTTATTTTGCCATATTTCATATATTATTTACGCATATTACGCGGGTCACCTTTGTCTTTGTTGTTGTTGTTGTTCACTCTAAAGCATGACTAATTAAGCAATTTTTAGCCAAATTTCAATTTAAGTTGCGGCCGCCGGAGCTCTTTGTACCATACACTGTGAAACACATTGAAAACTCATCTAGAGTTGGCTTAGAGCCGAGTTCGAAGATTTAGCAATTTTTGCTACCACATATTTTCCGAATTTTTCTTTAATTATTAAAATAAGTGATGGATAAATTTCTATATATATGAACATATATTCAATAAAAAATTTCTTCTTTATTTATTCATTATTCAAATTTAATCAAATTTTCAATGTCATATGGTTGAACATATTGTTCCAATATACTAATACTTCGTATTCATTAATTAGAATTCAGATATCGTGTAAGAGTGGCAGTGGCATGCGACTCGCAGCTACAAAATTATTTAACAGCCTAGTAGAATTAACAATCTTAATAGAAGCTTTTGCTCGAAATCCTGTTTAATTAAAGTATATTGCCATTCCCAATTCGATTTCGAGTTGTGGAATTGGGCAACTATAGGTTGTCTGTTCTAGGCACTCATTGGAAATACAAGAAATAATGCGTGCGCATTAGTATTCAGGACATACGCCTGTAGGGAACGTATGCTTCATTTTATTTCAGTTATTTCAGTTTGAGAATGTATGATATTTTCAAGAAAAAACAGCTATACTTTATAAATGAGAATAACTGACCAATTATTTACTTTTTCTGTCAAAAATGGGAAGCGAAAAAAATAGTTAATTTTGAATGAAACGTATGATTCGCATTGAAAACGAATAGCAATTTAATTCAAATAATTACTAAATAATGAGATATATTCTTCAGAGTTGTACTGGCTTATTTTGTAATCTAATACAAATCCGCATTATCATTTGATAAAATAAGATCATGCTCGAATAGTTAGAATAAAGAAGTAGTGTTTATTTAAATATATTACATATAAATTTATGAAACACCGCCGTCAAATAGTTTTTTCTCAGTCACAAACCTACACAGCATCATATTTCAATTACTTTCTCCCTCTCAAAGAATTTCAACATTTCACATTCATATCACATTCGATATCGTCTTCTTGGACAACAACAACTTTTACATTATTTTATTACGATGATATATAAGACTTGTTGAACCAGTTTCGTTGTAAAGCGCTTCTTTCGGTGCATTTCCCCAGATACAGCATCTTTTTCGTTTTGTTTTAATGTACGTGTGTTCCAGAAATCTGTGCTTCGTGCTCTTCTTAACGGCAAGCTGCTAATTATTTATGGCTTTAATGATTATTTTTTCCCCACCACTTTTATTTTATTGCTATCCCTACCATTTTGATTCTGATTCTGATTCTGAATCTCAATGGCTTGGTTTCGCTTCTTGCCTCACTTTGTGGTTTCTTTTGTATTTATTTTATTTTATTTTTTTCATAAATTTAGTGCTTCATTAAGCAATTTTTACAGTCTTGACTTTTTGTTTTACCATAGAAACGAAAACCATTCCATTGCCTTTTCAGTTCTGTTCGCTTTTGGCTCATAAGTGCGTAATTTACTTAAGCTGCTTTTGGCTTAATATGCGCATTTTAATAGATTTGTTCCACTATCGTCAAGACAATAAATTATAAAATACCAGCGTGTAGAGCAGGGCATTCAGACAGCATTCAGGAGGCACATACAGCAGCCATACAAACCGAGACCCCGCCACCACCATACAAGTATAGTCGTATATGCACTTGCCCGGCCCCTGTACCTGCCCCTATCTCGTGCTGCTGCTTGTCTCTGAAAGCTTTTCAACTCCGACGGCTGAGTGCCTCTAAGATGCAACTAATGATAACAGACAGAGTCAAGAAGAGAGTGGCAGAGGGGCAGTAGAGGCGGTGGCAACGAGGGAGCGGAACTCTGTGTGGTGGTTGCCTTTGCTCGATTAAGCTGCTTACCTGAGGGGCGTAGCTTTTTGGGTGTAGCAGTCGCATCAGCGCGTCTCACCTGACAGCTCAATGGACGGAGGCATTGCCAGCGATGGCAGTTTCCTGGAGTTTCTGTCTTTTTCTTCTTTTTTTAGGTGTTTGGTTGAGTGTGGGTTTTGGTTTTGTAACATTTTACAGTTGGCCCATTCATAATTATCACATGTGTGATGTGATGTGCTGGCCTGTGATGAGCTGGCCTGTGATGTGATGTGCTCTTGCATGGGTCCAACGTTGCGCTTTTTCACGCTTTGGCGGCTCATTAAAAGCGTCTGCATTAACACATTTTGCTGCATTTGCTTTGCACTTGCCACGCCCACGTTGCATCGCAGCGCATCGCATTGCATTGCACTCGCATATACGAATATGTAATACTGCCAGCACATACTCGGACTCGTACTTGCTAGCCGAGGGTTATAAATTACGTCTGCTGTACACAAGATTGATAGTTCTCTATAGGTTTCAAATGCCGTTAGCTCTGTTTGCCAAGCCTCGCATGTTCGCATATGCGTCTCTTCTGACCCAGTTAGACCTTTAATTAGCATATGCATAGATGCCTAGATACCTAGATGTGCGGGTATGTATGCCAGAACGATGATTTGTTGCCTTCGGTTTGCCTAAGCAAGGTGTTAGGCTTGTGAAGTTTACTTTTAAAGTCAAGTATGCGGCATTTAAGTGCTTTTACTTAAACTTTAAGACAAGAGCACATTTATGCTCTTCCAAGAACTATTTTAGCACTACTTTGTTGTTTGCTGAGCCAGTACAAGCCCTCTTATTTCCGAGTTAGTTTGCTGGCGGAGTTACTTTGTTTGTTAGCGGTGGTGTAGTCCCCTGGGACTAGCCGTTAAGATCTGTCTAGGCTCATTTCTGGCTGTCTTCTACCTAGCTCGCTTCTATCTTACGTACAGATCGTTTATCACTTTCAATTCGTTAAACTTATGCCTGGTCTCCACCGTATCTCCATAAATTAATATCCAAATATTTATGAAACATTTTGGATGTGACCTAAAAAAAGGGTACGGTCATTTAGCAAACATCGATACATGGCTGAATATATCGACACTTGTTGTCGTAAAAATCATACCAATTGAGTTCGGACTCGCTTCATCTTATGGGTCCCACTTGTTGTTCCACTAAAAAACAAAAACAAAACAATGCGTCGTTTCAAAAATAAATTTAAACATTTTGTTTAAGTCAATAGACCATTCACAGAAGTCAAATCAACACTTGTGCACACAAGTGCTACAGAATTTAGCACAATGGCTAAACAGATGTCCGGCCCCGCTCGAAACACAATTGTGGTTGGTGTGGGGGTGTGGGAACTGTGTATAAATAGCAGTGCAATTTTTTGTTGGCTTTAAGTTCTTGTCAACTGTCAATATGCTGAGAAAGTTTGGGTTCCTGCTGCTGATACTTGCGATTAATCCGGGGGGTTGGACTGGAGTGCGCGCCCAGAGACGCTGTATGATTGCTCGAAACGTTGTCCAGAATGCCCGACGCATCTTCTTGTTGCGTAATGCCCAGAATCAGTGGTCTCTCAAGCGCACAGATAGCTCGGCTGTTGGCGAAGTGTTGCGGTTGTACTGCAACGCAACCACCATTACACCGTCCACCTGTCAACCAAATGGGGCCTTTAGACCGCCTATAGCTACGGCTTGTCCAAGACCACCGTTTCCTAGCGCTATACCTATTGTGGACCGCAGATGTCGGGGCACAGCCTATCAAGTGGGTCATCGGCTTTTCGGGGCTATGCATGAGCTATACCGTTCGTGTTACGACCGAAGGCAAATGCGTGTGATGTATGTCGATCATCGTGTCTTTGGCAAGAGTTTCAGTGAGTTTTTACAAAGATTTCGGCGCTTAAAATATATCAGTTCTCATTGTATTTATCCATCATACCTAGTTCCACAGCGGCCTTGTGTCGCTTGGTCAGCCGACGGAGTCATCACACCAGGCCAGGAGCGCGCTTTCTTGCGGGGCAACATATACGCAACCTTCCAAAACTTATTTGGCGTACGCAATCGCTACATCAGCAACAATCAGGTCACAGTTATCAATCGTGGCCATTTGGCCGCAGCAGGTGACTTCTTCTTCGGCGACCAGATGTGCGGCACCTTTAAGTATGTGAACGCAGTTCCCCAATTCGCCAGCATAAATGATGGTAATTGGGAGGCAATTGAACGATGGATTCGCAGTCGTCTGCCTGTCAACTCCTTCTACAATGTGCGCACTGGAGCTGTAGGGGTGCTGCGACTCGCCGACGAGCGTTCGAACCCACCACGCATGAGGGATGTCTTCTTGGGTAACAGGCGCTTCCCCGTCCCCTTGTGGATGTACAAGAGTATTCGCAATGCCCAAAACCAGCCACTGGGCGTTTTCCTCACCCTCAACAATATTTATGCCAGAGCTATGCCGGCGCCTCCAGCGTTCTGTAGACGAGTAAATTGTCCATTGCAGTTGAATAATGTCGTCAGTAGAGGTTTCACAATGTGCTGCAATCCGGCGACTTTCAATCCTCCACACTAATTCCAATAAACCGAGAATATTTCAGTGATTATTCTGCATGCATTCTCCGTGCATTTCATTGATATATTCAGAGAGAAGTTCGAGCATTTGTAAAAATATATAACTAAAGCAAATAAAAAGGCACATTCAGGCACATGAATTGAAAGGTAATGGAAGGCGTAACTCCTAAATATCTCCACATCGATATGACTTCTTAAAATGCTGACACTTCTTCCTCCACCTATTGAAGAAAACCATTTTGATTGTGCTTTCAGCAATTTATCTTGTTCTATCAAAAGTTACTTCAGCGAAAAGTTGTACCTGAAGCTCTACCTCTTCAATCTCACTCAGAAAGAGTTATTCGAATCGAAAGTATATTACGTTATTGATGGCATTCTTGCCAAATTTCTTTTGAAATCAGAACTTGAAAACATTTCCACCGTCCCTTTTATCTACTGTACATATAGGATTATTCCTTATCGTCCCTTCCTTATATAGCACAAAATATTAAACCAAGAACGTAACTAAGCTCATGCCATTGCAACTGCATTCTTTCTACATCCATCCAAACTCAACCTCCGCCATTTGGTTGCATTGAGCACACGTGCTCGCTTTATTGCCCTACCTATGTTTAACATCAGATGTCTGTCAACTTTGGAGCACAAATCCAATCGGTTTCACCTTATTTTTGGTTAACAATGGCCAATAAGCTTGCGGGCCAGAGTTCGATGCTGCAAACCAAATAGAGGGGCAGCCAACCTAGTGTGGCATGAGCATAGCACTTCAATTTCATGTAATCTCTTTAAATGTGAAACAAACCGACAAACGAATACCAATCCACTTCAATCAAACTTAAAAGTTTGTACAAACAGTCCGCTCGCTGTGTAACTGGGAGAAAAATCGAAAACTTAAATGAGTTTCAATAACGTGTGCAAGAGTGTATTATGTATCCAGAAAGCGTGTGTGTGTGTGTGTGTGTGGTGTAGGTGTGGTTGTGGGTGTGCACTTCATTTCAACTGTCATTTCAGTTACTGTTAAAAATCGTATATCTATTAGAGCGGATTGCAGTGAACTCTGCTCGAAGCGCTATCTCAGTCGCGCTGGCTGTAGTTGTGGTTCTGGTGCTGGGTGCCACGTTATTTGATTTCATTACGACCGTTTCCAGTAACAATTTTTTGTTTTGTTGACACACATACACTCATACTCATACACACACATACACATATGTACGTGTATATGCTACATTCATGAAGAGGAGAGACAGTGCGCGCTTTTTATTACTTTTCATGTGTACAATCAAACATTGATGTCAGAATTTAATATGCTGTATAAATCGTTTTGAGCCATTGACACATTCATGCGTTCGTTTTCCATAGAATGGCAGGATGGGACACTCTTACATAGCCAGTGTCTGTGTGTTTGTATGAAAAAATATTTATATTTACACGCAATACACATACGCCCCTTTGTATTGCTTCCTACATATTTTTCCTTATTTTTTTGTATATATACTTGTATTTTTTTCTGTTTGGAAGCGTATAAAAAATTTCACTCTTATTGCTTTTGGAAGCTTTTCCATGGTTCACATTTCATTTATTTTCACTTGCAGCCGGTCGTTATGAAGTGGGGAGTGTGTGTGCACTTCACAACTTAATACACTTTATTATTGAAAATATTTTTTATTATTGGGGTGTGGCGGGGACTGTGCTGGAGAGCTTCCTAGAATTTGGCCCTGACGTGAGGCACTCGACAATTTGCTGTTGTTGTTGTTATTTGTTTGCTTCATGTTTATTGTTGTTGTTGTTGTTATTATTGCTTGGCACATTGATTTGCTGCACTCAATCCATTGAAAATATACAAAAGTGTGTGCGTTTGTATATTTAAAACTTGCTCTACAATTCACTTAAATACCCTACACACCTTCTTTATACATTCACATTTGATCAATGAATGTAAAAGATAGTGTAAGGCCTTACAGGCTTCATTGTAAAAGTCAGCACAGAGAAATTTGAAATTTTATTTATAAAGCTATTGATTAAATAAGTAAATAAAAGATTCAGTTTGTTCAAATAGAATTGACCATTTCGTATAAGCTATATCAGGCTATTGGGCTGTTTGGCAGTGTGATTCTTTTCTTTTTTAAGAATATTACGATTTTTTTTACAAAAAATACGCTTAATGTCCAGTCAATTTATTTATGGTTTAGATCGAAATTTCACTTAAATCTATCAAATTTTATCCTTTTTTGACTGTATAAACCAAATTTCTGCAAAAATGTTTTGACTCAAGTTGCACAAGCTGCATTTTGCCTTACAAACTAACTTCCTATCTACATATTTGACTGTATGAACCAAAAAATCTCTAAAGACGTGTTTGTTTTAGTCGAAAAAGTTCCCCCAATGCGTAAGCGTTTCATTTTTGTTTAAATACAATATTTAATGGTTTAATAAAACTATTTGGTTTCATAGGAGATGCTTTATATAACGAAAAATTCGATTTATTGTAACTTGCTCAAACAAATTTCTAAAATTGATTTATTGATTCATTTTTCTTCTAACAATTTTGTATTTATGAAGATGGGACCATAACATACTAGGCTTGAATACTTGAATTGGCTAAATATGCTTCAATTATAGTTTGCAAATTTCTTCTGAAAAGTCTCTATGTTTCAATAAAATGGCACTTTTTTTTTGTGAACGGTAGCGTATGTCATAGTCGTGTTGGCCCAATTATAGCTTCCAATTTTGTATTTTATTTTTGACTGTTAAACGAGATTTTGATATTCATGTTGCATGTTGCTGACTTTTGAAGTTTGGCAGAAGCAGTAGCAGGGTCAGGAGGCAGAAGGCAGAAGGGGGCGGCAGCAACGAGCAACTCTATGAAACTTTTCGCTTTTGCTTGTTTTTCCTTTTTGTTTTACCAATGTTGCTGCTGTTGATGCTGCTTGTGTGTTTTGGGCGGGGAATGGTGAAATGGAGTGGAGGGGGGTATTGTTAAATAATTTTTTTATGAGCAATGCTAAAGCCTTGCATTGTTTATTTTAATTTGCATTATTTTTTGAGGTTTTGCGTATTCTGATTATTGCCCAATTTTTTTTTCTCTCCCCACCCCGCACTCTCTCTCTCTCTTGCGCTGTCTCTGTTTATATATACGGGTATGTGTGGGTGTGTGTGTGTGTGTGTGGAAAAGTTTTTCACTTTTATATACCGTTTGTTCGCATTTAACATGACCCGAAAAAAAAGTTTGCAAATTATGCAAATGGGCTGTGTGCTCAACTTCTGGCCGTATATCCCACTCGACTGACTGCTCGACTACTTTGGCTGCCTTTTTTGCATCGTTTTAATGAACTGCGAGGCTTTTATGCGAGAATCCCCCCCATTTTATTTGTATATGTTTGTTGGTTTGTTTGTTTGTTTGTTGGTACCTTTGTATCTCTCTCTCTTGCTCTTGAAACCTGAATTCAATTAAGCGTTCTTGCTACTGTTGTCGGTGTTGTTGCTGCTGCTGTTGCTGTTGTTGTTGTTGCTGTTGCGGTAACTCAGCCAACGGCTGCTGCCTTCTCAGTCACTTTATTTATATCCCCGTGCTGCCTCATTTGCAAAAAGTTTATATGTACGAGTAGATGTGTGTGTGTGTGTGTGTGTGTGTGTGTGTGAGTGAGCTGTGCGTGTGCATGTGTCAGTTTGATAAATGATATCAATTTCTTATGGACTCACAACACTATAGGCGTCAAAGTTTGTTTTAGAATGTGCTTCATTTTGTTTGTTTGTTCCTCTGTACGTTTGTTTATTTTCTGCCTCTCGGTGGCGCTGCTCGTATAGCCACTCTGACATCGTCATTTGCCAATTTGACACTTTTAATACCTCCCCCCATCCTCTCTTCCCTGTGTCGCTCTCACCTCTCTCTCTGGCTTGGAGCTACTTGAATTTTAAATGCCTCCTCCTCGCTCGACAGCTCAGCGTATGAATTTTTAATGGCCGTCTCTTCGAATAGCAAAACCAAGTCCTCGTCTCGGTTAGACTGTGGATTTCAATTGCTTTTGTAACGCTTATTGCTATGCATTTGATTGCAGTGGTTACCACCACCATCAGGTGGCAACTTTATCTGCAACGCAGGAGCAAACAAAAGAATTCCTGATGGCCCCAACAAATTTTATATAAAATTTATTAGGTCTGGCACGCTGGAAATTTACATTTGTGACTTTTTTGTGGGCAAGAAACTTAACTTTTTTCAGTAGTTTATAGTGTGTTTATGACTTGATTATATCTGCCAGGAGATAACAGAAGGATATATTCTAGAGAACTGTGCAGCAATCAACTTGTTGGGGCTTACTCGTATATACGAGTACCAAGAAGATATTTTCTTTTATAAAGAATGTATGATCGATTTAATAGTAAAGGGTGTTCAAAGCAGACCAATTTTTAATAATTAGTTTGGCATTTAGGGCAAACAAAATTTTTGAAAATAAATTTGTAAATTTTGCTTTCTGAAAATTGCATAATTTTGTCTATAAAATAACAGCATGTCTGAATGAGTCGCCAATTGAAACTCTCTTTTAATTCCAACACAACAAGCTCTCCAAGACCCCTTACTTTTTACAAATTTCTCATCAACACTTTCTTCTGCATCTTCTTGGTTTTGGACACAAAAAGCAAACCTGCACCCATTTTCCTTATCGACTGGCCTGTATACATTAGATATCCAAAAGCGTGGTCCTCCTATTTGCGATAACTTAAGTATTTCAAGCGTTATTTAATTTACAAGCCAAAGTCATAAACTAAGATTCATAACGAGCAGCAATTACCAGAAAATTTAAAAAAAATCAAATAAAAATGCAAGCGCCAACTCAAAGATACATTTTCCATTCGAAGGCAAGGCGTCCTAAGGCAGCCACAACTATTAGCCCAGAAAAACACATAAAGATACTAAAAAACAACGCGAGCACATTAGCGACCCAGGCGAGACCACCAAGTAGCCGGCCGGCTGGCCGGGCTATATGTGTGTATGTATTTGAGCGACAA